CTGCCCGTGAAACGGCGTGCTGGGTTTGCTCTGGTGTTCGCGTTTGTCTCTTACCCTTTTGGATGTGTTCGCTCATCCCTCTCCTTTTTTTTTTTTTTTTTTTTTTTTTTTTTTTTGTTCCCCACTTAAATAATTCAGCTCTTCATTCCGCATGTTTCCTCCCTTATGGCTAGTCCCTGTCATCTGCCTTTTTTTTTTTTGTTGTTTTTAACCGTTTAACTTCTTACAGCAAAGGCAGCCAAACCTTACCGTCAGTTTAAAAACAATCAATTTGCGAGGAGGGTTCTCCGTCCGCTGAGTTCGTCGCACGTCGTGCTTTGAAGCTGTCTGCCTGCCGTGTGCTGATAATCGCTCACCTTCGCTGCAATTTAATCGCGAAGCTTTTTGGCGCTTTCTGATTAGCGTATCCATGCGTCAAACTTTGAGAGCTTCCTAGTTAGTCAAGACAAATAGCGTGAAATGAAGTTGAGCCCAGGGATGTAGGAGTGTAAGCGTCAGAGAATTCGAAGCAATTCAGACATTTCTGTGACTTAAAAAAAATGTAGAAGTAGCATGTTTGCGTGTTTCGTGCTGTAACTTTGAAATGAGGCTAAAGTGTGAACGTTGGTGATTTGGAGAAAGCTGGGAGAGCCGTGAGGGTTTCGGATCGCTTCACAGAAATGCTATTAGGGTATGTTGAAAACCCCCTATCGTTGTTTGAGAGGGGATGTCATGGAGCCATGTATAATATCGAGTAGTGGAGGAGAGATCCGTGTCGGTGACTGTTACCGCAAAACTTAACTTTGTGTCAGGAATCTTAAAGAAATTAAATAGAAGTCTACAAAACTGTATGGAATGGGTCTGATCCAAGGTCCTTTTTCTCCCTCTCCCCTCGCTCCATTCTTGATCGTGGACAGGATCAGTTGCTTTAGGAAAGGTTCTGGGAGCAGGATGGTTATTTTGTATGGTACCTTCGGTGGCACACTCCTTCCATCTCTCAGGTTTCAGTCATACCTGGTTCAGAAGGTCCTTAAACTTCAGACTGTACGCGCATCTTTGCGTTTATCAGTCGCATAAGCCATTCGGGGGCTTTACCTCCATAAAGCTAACTTAAGTCTGATAATTTACTCTTTTGACCTCTAGAATGGCCTGTGAAAATTAGTTACATAGTTTATGTGCACTATTTCCTTGTGGGTGTGTGTTTGGGTTTTTTTGTTTGTTTGTTTGTTTTTTGTTAACCCACATCCTCACCATTTAATTTCATTGTCTCTGCTCTTTTATCATGTATTTCGATGAATAATTGCTCCCTGTTCTGGCTTGGGGGGGGGTGGGGTGTGGAAGTGGATGTTGAGGACCAACAACTGACAGGCTGGAAAGGGAAAGAAGGGGTGCGGGTATGAGACTTCTGTCAGAGGGAAGAGAAGGTTTCAGGGGATCCTTAAAGAGGGATCGGTGGGAAGAGAGCCTGCTAATAAGGATGAAATACGGGAAGGTCAAGAAGAAGCCTGCTGAAGCCACAAAGCTTTTTGCAGAACCTTAATAGTTTTTTTTTAAGTGATTATAAGCTTATATGTTTCAAGGGCTCATCAGGTTTAGCTATTGAGGTTTCAGAGCAAACTTTGGGTGCTCAGATTGTCAAATTAAATATGCGTGGAAGGAGCTCCTCTAGTTTCTTACTGGATTTGGTACATCATTAATTTGATCCAATGTAATAATTTAGGTGCATTCAGCAATGAAATTATTGCCTTGTGGTATGGAAACTTCTGAAGTATGATGTGGCCAGGACAACTTGCTTTGACGATTCCTCGCTTTGATTTCCTTTTCTATAACTTCTAGCGATTGCTGCAATTTAGAAGGTACTATAAATTGCATGGATTGTCTGTTTTGTTCCCCTGACATTGTGGGTGCAAAGATTTACTTTGTATCCTGTTTTTGAGCATACCCCCTCATTCCTTAGCTATTTACAAATTCTTTTTTTTTTTTCCTGTTGGCTTTTGCAGTAAGTAATCTTTTCAGTTTTTAGACTTGTTCTGGGTTTCAAAAAAAAAAAAAAGGTATTTAATTCATTGTTTCTTCAAATGTCAGTGTGAATCAGTTAGCCAGAGTGGTAAAAATTATCTGGGAAAATGTCTTAAAAAAAGAACTTTCAGTCAACATAAAATTTTTTTTCCAGTGTGCACTATAGTTTATTAGTGATAGTGACATTTACTGGTATATTTGAGGTGCTGCTGCCCGTGAAAGACCACCTTTGTACCCTTGGAAGCCTTGTTACAGTTAATGGGATTCCGCAGTGATCTTGGCCAATGTATTGCTGTACGTATAAGTAATTTCATTTTCAAGCTGACTTCCTTAACTTTTTTTTTTTTATTAAACCAAAGGAAGGCGTTTTTGAAAAAAAAAAAAAAAAGTTGTGTGTGATGCTACTGCTGGCTGCAGTCCTGCTCTTGCGGTTGCATCTGTGTAGGTATCCGCATAAATCTCTCCTCGGGATTTGGGATGCCAGCTGAATAAAAGGGGGACATTGTTCCAAGAACTCTTACGTTTCTTCTGAGTGCTGCGTGAGCAGCTGCCTCTGGCCAGTGCTGCCCAGTCTGCTGCATGTTTGTCTTGTTTGCATGTGAGGGTACCAGCGTGTGCATCTCTTTTTTTTTTTTTTTTTTTTTTTAAAGCATTGATTTTGTTTGTTTGTTTTATAATTTAAACAAAAGCGTGCTGAAACTATTTGCAGATTTATATTTAGAGAGTTTTGTTTTGAAGCCAGCCCTAAATAACTTAACTTTGAGTCTGGCCTAGTGGGAGTGACACTCTGCCATCCTTTTCACACTGTTTTTTCAATTAGTATTTTTAATTCTGTTGAGCTGCATGTTTTCTTCTCCCTTAACTTGATAGGTGGTTATGCACGGGGGGATCGACTTAAGATTCTGTTTTTTCTGGGACTACTACACGTTCATCACAGTTGTGATTTGAAGTGTTTTTAAGCTTCTCTGCTAGCTGCTGAAAACATGAGAGGACTGTTTGGGTTTCTTGTAGGCAGACACCTGGATATATAATGTAGGCCATATAAACGTACTATTCGACACGCGAATAAACTCTCTGGTATTTTGCAGCCTTTATCACAAGTGCCCTGGAGCCTCTGAAGATGTACCTGCTGTAACTGATGATCTTGACCAGTGAAAACTGTCAAAAACTCGAGTCTTTGTGTCTTTTGTAGCGGTAAACAGAAACTTCTTGCAGTTGAGGCCAAGAATGTGGCTTCAAGATTTGGATTTTTGGGTTTTTTTGAGGGTGGCAGCACCTGGACTTATTTTTGTTTTCCCATGAGATATGTATAAAAACAATGGATGATGCAGTAAAGCTGCTTTCCCTGTTGTAAGGGATATTCCAAATGTTTCAGAACTGTTTTCTTTCTGTATTTTCCATGACCGGGAAGAGCAGGAGTGGATGTCAGATCTGTGACAAAATGATTTAATCATCTTTTCTGGAAATCTTAGATTCTTTTTTTTTTTTGTTTTTCTTCCTCTGACATCATTCCATATTTTGCTTTGTTGTAAGCACTTGTCCAGGGAGGAATTAACTTTGTAGTGAGTGGTTTGTTTGTTTGTTTTTAAATCTTTCTGTATGTGGTTCTGTAATTCAAAAATAGTCAGACTTGGAACCAGCTTCTATGCTGGCTAATTGTAGCACCGGGGGTAACCTGGTTTCTTACAAACCTGAATCATCTCCTACTTTAAGAATCTGAATCTGATTGTCTTTTGGACTTTTTGTCTCTGTTATCCTTGGGAAATGTGAATTTTGGAACTGATTTCTGAAAGCGGCTAGGCAGTATTTTCCTTTTACAGAAGTCGTATTCGTTGTGACTTGCTAGGGAGAGGATGGGAAATAGATTCACTATGCTACTGAAGTTCGAGGGAGAAGCGAAAAGGCTTCCACGAGGACATACTGCTTAGGGAAAGGGAAGAGGGCAAATGCTTAGTGGGTTCATTCGAAAAGGGGTGCGTCTGCGGGAATCTAACATACACTTTGTGTGTTTGTTTTAACTTAGAATTTCTAAACCAGGCTGAACTGAAACTCTTTTAACTAACCACTTGCTGGCCAGTGGGCTTACCTTTTTCCCCACACTGTCAGGTTTTTGAAAAGGTTGCTGAACAGCAAGAAGTATGAAGTTCAAATCCTGTTATAGAAAGACTCCGGGTCTTTAATTTTTACCTTCCCTGGACTGTTCTGTGCCATCAGTCTAAAGATAACATCCTTTTAAAGAATACTAAGATTTAGCATCTCTCTCATTCTTCTGTATGTTTTCCCACATAAGGTTCTTACTCACTATGAATTTCTGCTGGAACTGAAAAGTAAGGATTATCATTTATGTTTCTGCCTTGCCCTATCTTCACTTCTGTAGGTAGTTGATAATTCATGTGGAGAGAAATCCGCACAAAAGTAATCTAAACTTCTTGTAACCTAGGAGACAGAAATAGCAGGTTTTTGACATAACCTGATCTAGTACACAGTATTAAGTGTTTTCAGTTGCTACAATTTGGCAGCTGTTCGGCCACCTGTGTGGGATTATAGTACATAAAATATGAATATACAGTACACATGGTCTAGTATATGATTGTTTATCTGCATTAATATACTGCATGAGAACCAAATCAGCTTTGTGACATACTTAAGCTATGCAAAGGTACCTGCCTGCTATTGAAAAGCAGGCTTCTTGAGTTTACCCATTGGAGTATTAATTATAAATTTTTTTTCCTTAGATACTGTTTTCTTGCAGACCGCAGTGATTGTGCTAGCTTTTTAAATGGATGGATTTTATTAAAAACGTTGGGCTAAATTCTGGCTTCTGTTATAAAGCATTGATCTCAGTGGAGTTACTCGCAAGGGTAATTGATATCAGATTGGGTTCTTACGTCTCACGTGGAATATGTGCTTTCTGTTGTACAGCTAAGCAGCCAAACTTCTTAGTTTGCATCTTGAAGTAGTAAACTGCTCTTCACAGCCCAAGGTTTATGAACACGGATTATTTGTCTCTTCCAAAGACAGGATATGAGTAATAATATTTATTCAGAATAAATAAATAGCAGTTGTTTAGAAACAAAGCACTGCTGTTAATCTAGTTTTAAAGAAATTCATACAGATGGGGGTTATGTATCTTTGTAAGTTCAATGAGTCCATGGTGTACCCAAGTTCAAGCATTATGATGTAGAACTACTGGTTTTTGGACTCATAAGAAAAAAAGGGAAACTGCTACAATACTCTTTATTACAAAGAAAACTGTAGATTAGAAATCAAGTATGTATATGTGAGATTTGTATTATATATGCAGTGCTGTAAGAAGGCGGTATGTTTGGAAGCTTTATGAAACTATAGCTTTATCAAATGACTATGAAACACTAGTAGAACAAAGAAGAAAAGTAATATTAAAAAAAATCTCATAATTCAGTAGGAAAACAGTAACTCCAGAAAAGCCGCACTAACTCAAATTTGTGTGTCTCAGAAATCTAGCTGATACTTGACCTCAGTGAGAAATTCATTATTTCGGCCAATGGAAAATATCTAAGGATATTATTTGTTTTTAGAATTGTGTGAAACTTAATAAATAGCAAAGAACCAAACTGAAATTGTATTACCTTAGTATGAAAAGTTAGTGTGAAACTTGTGTTGTATGGCAGTAGTCAGTGTTAACTTTGCCAGGGTCAGCACGTTCTGTCACATCTGTTGTGTTCACTGATGCCTTCTTTTGATGTAGAAACGTAGCATGCAATAGCTTTCATAAACGTTGGAAGACTTCTGAATATAAACTATGCAAATAACTTAAAATTATTTTATGTTTCAGCCGCCTCTGCCTAGCTGTTTAACAGAAGTGGATTGTGAATTTAAGCCTTTGATAACCTCAGGCTATCAGCATTACTGTCTTCAGGATAGATAACAGCTCTCAAAGCGTCTTCAGGGGATGCACCATGACATCAGCAGTGATTGATACTGGAGGCCCTGGCCCGGAGTTTGACAGCAATGGAATAAGAAATCAAGAGGTTAGAAAAACAAAAATAGCGCTTATTTACTAACAAACTTTACAACTTTTATGTTAATTTGAAAGAAAAAAATCACCATAAACTTGCTGTGGGAGCAAGTGAAATGGATTAGAGATTGTTGTGTGAGCAGGAAGAGAGCAGCCCATTTTTCAAATATCTTTTATTAGAAGATTTTTATTATCACAGAGAAGTGGAAGCAGTACGTTTTGAAGTATGCAGTACAACTGTAGCCTGGGTTTACAAAATTAAATTCTATACTAAGCATCTCTTTAAAGTAAAGATCGCAGATGTGTCTTGAGCTGTAGAATGAGATGAGCAGAAGAACACAAGGACCTTTTTCAAAGTTAGCCAGTGTGACCTATTTGCTCGTATTTTGCATTCGTATCAACAAATAATAACTATATTCTACTATCCTGTAGCTCGTAGTAAATTGAATCCGTCAGGGTTCCACTTCTGCAACACTTTAACAGATCAAATGTGCTGTTACAGACATTTTTATCCTTAAATAAGTAGAGATAGGCATATGGGCTTTGAAGTAGTCAGTTCTTTTGTGATCGCTTACGTACTTAATCCAAAACATGAGTGTTCATAAGATACAGGTCAGATGTAGGCATGTTGCAGTACACATGCAAAGCCTTGATTACATTTCCTGGAGCAGAGGGAGAAGAAACACTTCCCACAGCTGAATGTCTTAATTAGAAAGCTTGCGCTTTTTCAGTGTCTTAAAGCTGTCTGATGCTTTAAATTTTAAGCGCTTAAAGCCAGGAAAATATCTTTTGAGATTCAGGAAAGTCCCTTTGGTGGATGATAATTACCTTTTTTTTTAATATCTTATTTTAGAAGAAAATTTCCTTTTAAAATCTTTAAAATTATTATCATTATTCCATAAAATATGTAAGAGCATAAGAGGAAAATATTGATGTATTGAGTTCAACAGTGCAGTATTTAGAGCATGTTTTTTTTTTTTTTCTCTCTACAGGAAAATGAGCCAGTCTCTGAATTCCCAGCAGTGATTGTGGAGCCAGTTCCTAGTGCCAGACTAGAACAGGGTTACGCTGCTCAGGTCCTGGTTTATGATGACGAGACTTACCTGATGCAAGATGTAGCAGAGGAACAAGAAATTGAGACTGAAACTGTGGAAACAGGTAGACTTACTATATTTTTTTTTCGCCATGAGATTTTCTTATTTTAGAATTCCCTGAGGAATGTGACTTTGTATTTATCTCCAGGATGGAGAGCCTGACCTGGGTTCACATCTCTTTGCTCTAAACTTAGTTTTACTTGGCTTCAGTGGTAACAGGTTTGGGGCTTGGTGGGTAAAAATGTCAGCTTAGGTTCAGGGTGCTGCACTGTAACACCGTGTGCCCTCATAAGTAGGCAGATCTTCATTTATGTCTTTGTTACCTATTTATGCAGGGGGTTAACTAGACAACTAAACTTGCGAGTTTTTAAAAATCATCTGAGCCAGGAAGCTGGTTAGAATTTAGTTTCACAGTGTGTCTGAGCCAAATAACTGCAGGGTAGCTGGCAATATGGACTGTGCGGCTTCCAACTCTTCCCCCTTCCCATCAGCTCTACCCTCTGTCCCTTGCTATCCTGCCTTTTTGGTCCAAGAGCAGTTCTATTGCTGGTTTAGTGGCAGGAGTGTGTGGCTGGGGGCAATGGAGTTGGACTGTCCTTTTATGGGCAAAAAACCCTAATAAATCAAAATTAACTCAGCTACGCGGTAAAATAACAAGTTACGAATGAAGAAAGGAGTAGAGCTTTGGCATTAAAGCAGCTGACCTGTTGAGCTATAAGCGTGTCTCTTTCTGTGCACCTCAATCCAAAGAACATGGTCAGGAGCTTTGAACTTTCTGAGGGGAACCAAAGTCTATTTAAACTGTCTGAAGAAACAAAAGCTCTTCTCCTTTGGGAGCCTGATTACATCTGACTGCCAGGCTGCTGCTCTGCTGCAGTTCCTGTTGTCCCTCCCCCTTGCTTTCTTTTGCTGCTTCTCATACTTTTTGAACCTTTTTTAGCCATTTCAGTATGCTAATTTTGCAAGAAAAAATAGCAGGAAACCCTCAACTGTTCTGTATTTTTGGTGGGTCAATGTTCTGCTGGATTAGTATGCTGACATGGCTCAGCCAAGGGCCTGAGGAGTGCTGGGGTAGGGAATACATAGAACTGCAACCAAAGGGAGGACAGGTCTTCTTGGGCACTCTGTACTGAACTGGTGAGACCACTCGGCTAGAACATGGATAGCATACATTCCTATCCTTGGGTTGCCTAATTTAGAGTTGAAGTTTGAATTCATGATGTCAGGCAAGCAAAAACAAACTGAGAGGCTCTTGTCTCAGTTGCTTAACTTTGCAGCCCAGGAAATATATGTGCATTCCCATGAGATTAGGTAGGTTTCAGTTCAAATTTGTCCCGAAACAGTGGATGCAATTGCTTATACATCCTTCTGAATCTGGATGTTAATCTCCTGTAGCACTGCATCAAAGATCACATGCATCAACTTTGTAAGGTATGCATGAACTAATGGTTCAGGTTTTGGAAGAATACTTGCAATTCTAGTTTACTCAAATGTGTTTTGAATTAAATATGCCAATTACAAGTTAACAAATTCATGTAAAGAAAATAGGTATTTTTTTAAATTTTTGACTATGGTAGTTAAACTTTTAGGGTTAAGGTAAGTGAGAAGTGAGGGTATTCTTCCCAAGAAGCTGAGTTTTATACATTAAATTTGTATTTGAAAATCTTAAAGAGCTTATACTTTGAAGGCTTTTGCATTTGGAAGCGTTGCTTTTTTTAAACATTAAATATGCAGTTTCTTGTAAGATTTTGGTAGATTAATGGCTAACAGAGTGGTGGTTCTAGGGTAAAGAGCTACTGCGAATGAACTCTGTATGTTTTTAAATATAGTTTTCTGGCCACAATAATTGGTGGAATTGACAATTAAAAACTTGTAGCTCTTCTGTAGGAATCTTACTTTTTTTGTGTGTTTGGTTTTTAAGATGCTGTTCAAAGAAAGAGATGTGGTGAAAACTAGAGATGTGCACTAAAAAGCCCATTTACAGTAGTGTAGAGAAGAAATTAAAATTAATGAAGGTTTAGAAAACTATTCATGAATATTATAATTTGTAGTTCCAAAAGGTCTTTGGGAAGAGAGGTAATCTTCTGTTGTACACTCGTTCCCATACTCCAACTTTTCATTGTTATTCATATAGTATATTCACCATTAATGCAGTGCAGTTTTCGTGGTGTAATTATATGTCACAGTGAGTAAAGGTTCTTGCACAGAACTTGTATCTAGTGTTGATGAAAAATGTGCTTGGTCTAGGCTGTTCTGAGGGAGGCAGTCTGGAGGGGCATGTGTTTTGACCGACACATCTTGGTACAGCCAGGAGTCTTTCTGAATTCGTTGCTCATACAGAGACATAAATGGGTGGAGAGAAAGTATAAAGGAACCAAGAAACATTCATTTTGGTAATGCGCCATTATTAGCGGGGAGTTGCAGGAGAGTGAATCTGAGTGTGTTTTTTAATTTTTATTTTTGTAGGGGAAGGGAGGAGATAGTGGGCTGTGGGTAGGAGGCAATTTCATGTTGGTAAAAGGTGCCATAGTAAATGTTAATGAGAAAGCAGGCTGAGGCGAAACAAGTAAACAAGGTATAATAATGTTTATTTAAAGAGCATTCTTAAGATGCTAATTTTCTGAAGTACATACCTTTATTATGCTAATGAGCCTAATTTAGGCAGGTGCAACAGTTTGATTTCTGTGCATCTTAGAAGACAAATCCATTGTTGCTGAATTAGTCCCAATTAATTCCACTTCATAAATGTCAGAATTAATTGCTACAAAAAAATTCACCTTATTTGAGAAGTGTATAGCTGTTGCACCAAGAACAAGAACCCTTTGTGGTTCAAAACTCTACAGACAGCAGATACTGGAGGTATTTAAAAGACAGTTGGGCGAGGTGCTTAGTGACCTGGTTTAGTGGTGGGCAGGTATGGTTGGACTTGATCTTAAAGGTCTTTTCCAACCAAATGATTCTATGATTCTACTAAAATAAATACAAAGTGGCAGCTTTTGAAATGATACGTACCCACATAACATAATACACACCCAGTTGTTGGTATCTCTACTGTTGGCCATGGACCTGATACTTTTTTTTTTTCCCTTCTTGTGGAAGTCCATTGGCAATTCCAATGACTCCTGATTTACATGCTTTACGACGTTACAGCACACATATTCCAAGAGCCTCAAGCTACTTTGCAGTTAATCTAAAGCTGCATAATTTAGTAAAATGTAGCATTATTCTAGCCTTCAGAGGTAGGGATCAGTTCCCTCTGTGATAAATGTAGTGGGGTGGCTGATGTGGTAAAATTTACTTAGGACACTCGAGATGATTTGTGCTGTGCATTGCATGGTTCTATTTGTGGTTTGCTTTTCTGTGATTGGATTTGAGACTGCGCAGGCTCTTAAGGGCTGTTGGTGCGGATCAGAAGGGCAGAATCAGGACCCATAATGTCATTTTTAATTAAAACTTTTTGCATTTATGAAACCACAATTCAAATAAAATATGCTATATAATAATTGTAATTAGCCATATCTATAAATACTGATGGATTTTCAATTAATTTTAGTGGAGTATGGGTTTTTTTGCCTGTCAGACTCCTTCCAGCCTGTTTCTCACTAATCTATCTTGATTAATTAATCAAGGATCATTAATTATAATTAATCCTTTAACTATAAAATTAACCCATTAACTATAAAAGTAAAATCCAAGAGTCTTTTAACAAACAAGAAAGACTTAATGGTTCAAGTTAGGTTTTTTGTCCTATTCCAGAAAAAACTGCCTGTCTGCTTGGAGTAGGAAAAAAAATCTCGACAATGGAGTTTTCTAGGAAAAAGAAAATGTAGGAATTTTGATTTATTTTTTTTTCAGGTGACCTTATGACATTCTCAGTGGAAGTAGTGGGTGCCTTTTGTAATGTTTGAAAGGGAAAGTATAAGCTTTAGATTAACGTAGTGTTTAAATTTCTTTTCCTATGTGTATGATATAATTCCTAGGAGCAGTACCATTAGGCTACTGGGGACTGAGTTATAGTCTTAAAATTTTGTTTACTGCAACAGTGGCGTATCATAAACAATGCATCCTTCTCAAAAATTTTTTAATAATACCCAAATTATATTGACTTCCGTTTCCTGAGTAGTTATCTGTCCTTAACGTAATTAGCCCTTCAATTTTAGGGTTTGGTCAGCAAAACCTTTGTAGCTTACATAACAGCAGAAGCCGCTGTCTTTAAAGAAGTGGTCGGTCTGAAATGAACTGTTGCTACAGTTCTGTTTGTCTGTCACGACACAGAACCAGTAATGTGGATGTGTAGGTGTGTTAATGGGGTAATCTAATCTTTGGATTTACCGTATGTGCATTGCTGAAGGTACCACAGTCATGATCTGCAGGTCTTGTGCATGGATGATGCCAACACTGTTTTAAAAATGTCAAGTTATCCGGAACATTGTCACTAAAAATGGTTAGGACTTTCTGAGCTCCTTTCGCATTGATCTTATGCCTGCACCGGTACTACTTTTCTTTTGTATAACCTTACTTAAGATGAATTTGCAAAACCAGTGTTGTTTATTGTTTACAAATCTTGTTGAACAGTAGGCAGCTATTAAGCAAATGTTGCTGTAAGTAGAGTAAAGCTTGATTCCTGCGAGAGGCATACCAAAATCATATCGCCGATGTAGACCCTGATTTAACTGATCCAGTGAATCTAACTTCTCATATCAATAGTATTTCCCCCCCTTTTTTTTCTTATTAATCATCAAAGCGGCATGTACAGGTTTGGGATTTTTTTTCTCACACCTAAGTTTAAAGAGGAAAAAAAGCTACTGCTTTTGAGAAGTTGAGATATCATTTGACTTGTGAACTGTCACCACATTTTTTAATTTGATGTTCCATCAGAAATCCTCCCTGTGGTGCAAGTTGAAAGTCTGTTTTAATTCTAAAAATGTTATTGCCACAGGGGGGTAGAAGATCTGCATGAAAAAATGGGGATCTGAAAATAAGCCCCTCCAGGATTACGATCTGATGGAAAAATACTGAGCTACAAAGACAACAATGATGGTACGTTTGTCTATAATCTCTTAA